ATTTAAACACCAAACACCGTAATTACATCATTAAGCATAGTACACAGATCTTAGAAAAAATAATAAAACTGGTCCACAACAAACAAATTGGAAACTGAATCGCAAAGTTTCGCAACTGGTCACAAGTCTTCGTTCCACATGACGACCCAAATAACTGTTCACTTTTTTTCTCTATATACGAATCACCCACGCCACGCCTACCACTCGAACATACATAAAGTAAACCACAGAGATTACCTGTCTATTCGCACCCAGTAACCTTGAACTTAACCTGAAATTTACACACACAATTACCATATTGCGTGTGGCGTCTGTAACCGGGAATTGTATCAGCCTTGTATATAAAGTGTGTTGTCTTTGTTACAGCGCTTGAGCATGTGCTTACAAAGCCCAGACTCTTCACGACCTGATATAAATTCTACACCTAGTGGCCTATAGCCCCATTGAGGGCAGGGAGGGCACCACTGGACTTCTCTGCTCCCAATACCTTCGTAATGTAGCTCTTTGCCACCCCGTTTATTATCATACGTTCGATCCTTTCTTTATCTTGGTTTCACGACTAGCGATAATCATCCTCATTTACAAGATAGCCAACTTCGTATAATAACTTGATGAGTATCTGCGCTCCTACATCATGGTCGTCTAGCGCGTGAGTCAGCCGCAAGTAAGTGCATACGCTGTACTCATGCACACGTGCTGTTATGACCGAGTAACCTAACTATCTCATTAAACGTGCTTCAAGAACGCTGATCCCGACTAGCTGACGCTTCCCACATCGGCCGATTCGCGATGACTGACATCGAAGACCAGCCTTCGGCTTCGCTTATGAGATGTCCAGCACTGTACGTGACTATTATGCGGCCCAGCGAGTAGTGTCCCCTGTGTTGACCTATCCTGTCAGTCGCTATAGAAATATCCCCCTACCATGTCCCCTCACCCTCTCCTCTTGAATCCCCTCTTACTGTCTCCCTCCCTTCTCTTCCATCAACCTGCCTCGTTCCTATGCCCCTCGGGCCTCGAACCCGTTGTTTCTTTTCATCCCTCTCCTACCTTTCCGCATTTTACCTTCCCCCTCCACCCCGCACCGTCGCCCTCGATTATCCTCCGCCCATCTCCCTCACTTCCTTCTTACCATCTTTTTCACAGCACTACTTCAAATCCCTTCCCAATCTCCTCTCCTCCCCTCATCCCACTCAGTCTGCACCCCGCTCCACTCTCCTCGATCCCTCTCCTCTCTTCTCCTCTCTTCTTCCCTCCCTCTCCTCTCCTTCTTCTCTTCCTCATCCCCACTGTCATCCTCCCTCCCCTCTCCCTCCCTCCCTCTCCTCTCCTCTCCTCTCCTACTCCCCCCCCCCTCCATCTCTCTCCCTCTCCCCCACACACCACCACCCTCTCCCTCTCTCCCCCCTCTCCTCTCCCTCCCCCTCCTCCTCCCTCTCCTCCTCCTCTCCCCCACCACCACCTCTCCCTCCCTCCTCCATCTCAACCTGTTTCATACTGTTCCAATCAACCTTATTTTTAAACCCATTGATCTGGAGCACAACAACAACCGATCATTCAGAAACCGGCATGATTGGGAGCAATGGTTACAGGTGAAAGCAGTTCATTTAGACTTTTCAACCTTTTTCATGATCGTTAATACTGCGAAAGGTTCACGGTGACCATCAGCTTTCGGTTCGCTCATCAACTCCTGGGATTACTCGGCACCACTTCGTCTCCTGTTTTATATGTATGTATAAAACAGGAGACTGTCTATCTATATCTATCTATTTATTTATCTGTGTGTGTGTGTGTTGTGTGTTTGTGTGTGTGTGTGTGTTGTGTATTGTGTGTGTGTGTGTGTGTGTGTGTGTGTGTGTGTGTGTGTGTGTGTGTGTGTGTGTGTGTGTGCGTGTGTGTGTGTGTGGTGCGCGTGATCTCTGTGCTTGTGTGTATCTCTGGGCGTGTGTGCGTGTATTTGCGCTTGCATATATAAAAAGCAAACATATACACACGTAAGTCCAAATACACAAGAGCATATCCCAATATTGACATTCCAGCAAACAAACCAACTTAACTCCCCGGAATTATTAGACGACCGCGCACGTCCCTACAAACTACTATATCTTTAACCCACTCTGTTCTAAATAAATAAATCGCTGTTTGATATCTCATGCTCTGATTCCCAAACAACGGACAAGTTTAAATGAAACAAATCAAGGCCATTTTTCACAAAGGGAAAACTGGCAACGTACGAAAGTCCTCGTGAAAAAATGAAGATGATGATAATGCAGTTCTTGTGATAACGGGAGGGAAGTCCAGGGGCATTGCTGCCGGGATATTTATTAATCTGTCTATCTATCTATCTATCTATATCTCTCTATCTATATATCTATCTATCTATCTATCAACTCTATCTATTTATCTAAAAATATATCTACGTCTTCTATCTATCTATCTATCTATCTATCTATCTATCTATCTATCTATCTATCTATATCTATTATTTTTTTCGCTCTCTCTCTCTCTCTCTCTCTCTCTCTCTCTCTCTCTCTCTCTCTCTCTCTCTCTCTCTCTCTCTCTCTCTCTCTCTCTCTCTCTCTCTCTCTCTCTCTCTCTCTCTCTCTCTCTCTCTCTCTCTCTCTCTCGCTCTCATATATATATATATATATATATATATATATATATATATATATATATATATATATATATATTAACGTTACCTCAACATCCAGCCTGTCCGAAATCTGAAGAGATCTGCTCTCCAAGAGCTGTCAGATCATTAGACCCGCTGGGGAGATGCCTTTTGAAGTGGACCCGGAGTAGCCACAACCATCTATGGTCAGTACCACAGAACCCAGCAGTCCTATACAACCTGCAGTTCTGGAGGATCCTCCAACGAGTGCTAACGAGTATGTGGTCGATCTCCTTGGCTGCATCACCCGCATCGCTAGACCATGTCCAGCGATGTGGGTCTGGGCGCTGGTACCAGGAGCCAGAAATCGTCAATTTCTGGGACATCGCAAAGTCCCGGAAAAGGAAGCTATAAAACACACATCGTGCGCGTTTCATATATTGGTGCAATAAATTTTTTTTTATATCAAGTTTTGGTAACTCCACAGTTTTATGTCATTGTATGAAAATGAATAATAGTCAATCTGTACCATATTGTACATATGGCCTTTATTGAATTTTATAGATTGAGAAGACACATAATGACAATATAATATAATTGAATGGTCGAAAGAATTGTACATAAAGTTCCACGTAATCACTAGACTTACTTTGTATGTATAATTGAATATGAAGGCATAAACTCAAATATCCTTTTAAATACAGTATTAATCATTAAAGTTTTTTTTTGTTCATAATATTCAAAGGAAGTGACGCTCAAAAACGGTGCTGATAGACGAAGGAATAAGTATGAAGGGAGGCGCTTATGGCCCGCGTATTTTCAACAGATTTCGATAGTCTTCCATCGTCTGATTTGTAATCTTGAGATGTTGATAACTAACAATATGCGTTTATTGCTATTTGCTAATGTAATATCAGTAAAACAGTGATTAATCGTTCAATTCAATTAAGAAATAAAACCAGATTCGTCAATTCGAGTACGATTCCTACCTAGCAATGAGGGTTCAGTAGAAATAAGGGATCTGATTCCATTTTAGTGAGAGAAATGCAAACAAGCAACTGAGATAAAAAAAAAAAAAAAACAAAAAAACTA